GTGATAGAGGAAAAGCTTTCAGTTTCTCCCCACTGAGGATGATGTTAGCTGTGAGTTTCTATATATATGTCCTTGATTATGTTGAGGTATGTTCACCCTAGACCTACTTTGCAGAGAATTTTTGTCATGAATAGATGTACTTTGTCATATGCTTTATCTACATCTATTGAAAGGATCATATTGTTCTTATACTTTCTTTTATTAATGTGATGTATCACTTTGATTTGTGTATTGAACCACACTTGTAACCCAGGAATAAATCCCATTTTATCATGGTGAATGATTTTTTAATGTACTACTGGATTAAGTTTGCTAGTAGTTAATAAAGAATCTTTGCGTGTTTCCCCATTCTCACTTTCAATCTGCTGGTGTCTTTAGATCTAAAATGAGTCTCTTGTAGACAGCATATCGATGGGTTTTGTTTTTTATGCACTTTGGCACCCTTTGTCTTTTTATTGAAGTGTTCAGTTCATTTACATTCAGACTAATTTTTGATCGATCTGTATTTAGTGCCAATTTACTACTTGTTTTGTTGTTGTTTTTGGAGATTTTTTTTTCTCTTCCTTTCTTGTCTTTGTCACATTTGGTATTTCCTTCCTACTCAAAAATTTATTTGGTCCCCTTTAATATTCTTGCAGGGCTGGTTTGGTGGTCACGAACTACTTTAGTTTTTGTTTCTTTGGGAAACTTTCTCTCTCCTTAAATTCTGAGTGATAGCTTTGCTGGATAAAGTGCTCTTGGCTGCAGATTTTTCCCATTCAGCATTTTGAATATATCATGCCAGTCCCTTCTGGCTTGTCAAGTTACTGTTAAGATATCACCAGCTAGCTTTATGGATTTTCCTTGTGGGTTAAGGACTTCTTTTGTCCTGCTGCTTTTAAGATGTTTTTCTTCATCACTGTACTTTGCTAGTTTAATTACAGTGTCTTGGTGTTGGTCTGCTTTTGATGATTTTGATGGCTGGTCTCAGTGCCTCCTGCATCTAGATGTCTGTTTCTTTCCCCAGATTAGGAAAATTTTCAGCTATTACTTCTTGAAATAAAATTTCCAACCTTTTCTCTCTCTTCTTCTTCTAGGACTCCTGTAATACAAATGTTATCCCTAAGTCTATTTATTCTCTTGTTACATGATTCTTTTTTCCCTCTTTTCTTCAGCTTCATTATTTTCCATTATTTTGTCTTCTAGGTCACTAATCTGTGCCTCTGCTTCTTCCATTATACTGTTCATTGCATCAAGCCCATTTCCAATCTCATTTATTTCATTTTTAATCTCTGATTCTTTTTTACTCATTTATCTCCTTGGAAAGGGTCTTACTGCTGTCTTCTATTCTCTTCTCAAGCCCAGTGAGTATCCTCATTATTGTTGCTTTAAATTTTTCATCAGGCATGTTACTTATATCTGTTTTGCTGAGATCTTTGGCTGTGGCCTCATCTTATTCTTCCATTTGGAATAAATTCCTCCATATTGTCATTTTTGTCTAAGTCTCTGCCTCTTTCTCTGTGTTAGAAAAGCCAGTTATGTCTCTTGCTCCATCTTTGATGTAGCCTCTTCTCTCCCTTCAGTTGTGGAGCTTATTCTATCAGTCTTCAGGTCCATTTCTCCAGCATTTAGGATGATTTTAACTTCTGTATTTGTGTTCATGGGATAAGACATGCCTAGGGTCTTCCTACTCAATTGTTACCTTCTTCCTTGCTGGAACATACGAGAAACCTTCCTGGTTTCTGTTAATTTAGCCTGTCCTGGGACAGGATGTTTGTTAAGCTAGGGAATGTTCCTCCCACATTCGTCTTCCAGCTCAGGCTCTTGGATGCCTTTTTTGGATCAATAAAATGATTCTGTGGTATTTTCTTCATTCTATTGATACAATGTATTATGTGTTTACTGATCTTTTCTGTTGAACTACCCTTACATTTCTTGGATAAATCCCACACAGTCATGGTGTATAATCTTTTAAAAAGTTATTGTAGTTGGTTTGCTAGTATTTTGTTGAGTATTTATGCATCTATAATAATAAGAGATGATGTTGGTCTGTCATTTTTTTTTCTAGTGATATCAGGGTAATACTGGACTCATAAAATGAGTTTGGAAATGTTCTTTCATCTGCTATTTTTTGGAAGATTTTGAGATGTATTGGTGTTAGTTCTTTAAATATTTGATAGAACTCACCACTGAAGTCACCTGATGTTAGATTTCTCTTGGTTGACACATTTTTAAGTACTCATTCAATCTCTGGTTATAGATATGTGGAGATTTTCTATTTCTTCTTCTTTTTGTTTTCCCTCCCTTCCAAATGCTTCTATACACCCCTGCCCATCACTTTTATTTATATAATGAGAAATTCTCAGAGTAGATTTTGTCAGGAAACAAAATCACCATGACTACATCCATACATTTATAATTTGGGTTGGGGGGGGGATTTTTTGTTTGTTTTGTCTCACAACTGAAATGTGGTCTTCTACTCAAATTTTCCCCATTAAAACATGATTCTCTTCTCACCAGAAATTGGGGTAAAATGAATCATTCAAATAAGTTATAACATAGAATCACACACACACAGTTTAGCTAGGTAACTAACCTGTATCTTGGTTGTGTGTTAGGCTTAACATGTGTTTCATATGGTAATTGTAGTAGTATTCAAACTAAAAGAGTTCCAGTTCATAATTTTCCATCATATCTTAAGAAAAACCTGAACTCTATGTCATAATTATTGCCTTTGAAATCTGCTTTTCACAGCCAGTGACTGCCAATATCTCTTGTATTGAATTCATACCCATCTGTAATAATTGTGAGCATGTAATTGTGGTAGGTAGTTACAGTCCCAAGTTACTATAAAAAACAAAGCAGGATTTTTCAGAGAAATTTTTCTTTCTTTTTTTTTTCCGAAGGATTTTCGTTTCCATTTAATTACTTTCAATAAGTACATTTTGTTGTTTTTTCTCTTAAATAGTTTATTTTTTATTTTTATTTTTTTAACATTTTTTATTTATTTCTAGGAGAGAGAGAGAGACAGCGTGAGCAGGGGAGGGTCAGAGAGAGAGGGAGTCACAGACTGAAACAGGCTCCAGGCTCTGAGCTGGCAGTCAGCACAGAGCCCGACGCGGGGCTCGAACCCACGAACCGCGAGATCATGACCTAAGCGAAAGTCGGACGCTTAACCGACTAAGCCACCCAGGCGCCCCTTAAATAGTTTATTGTCAAGTTGGTTTCCATATAACACCCAGTGCTCATCCTCACAAGTGCCCTCCTCCTTGCCCATCTCCCCCCTTCCCCCCTCCCCCATTAGTCCTCAGTTTGTTCTCAGCATTCAAGAGTCTCTCATGGTTTGCCTCCCTCCCTCTCCCCAACTATTTTCCTCCTTCTTCTCCCTCGTGGTCAAAGAAATTTTTCAAATAAAAATCTGTACCTTGCCAGTCCTTGATATCAACACTCAAACAAGCATAGAAAATATTCTGACTTATTTCTGTCAGGGTGAATCATAGGATATTTTTCTGTAAGATAGATGTAATTATTTAATTTTTAAAATTTGGAATAACCTATACTTGGTTCCTGCATGCTATATTTTAGAACAAATAAGTCAGGAATGCTAACTATAACTTGAATCATTGTAATAGCTACTTACTGCTATTTTAATTATGTATTTGTATAAGTTTGGGGAAAGGAGATTTATTTTAGGTGATAAAAAAGATTAAGTCATTATACAGTTCTCAGTTTAGTCCTATTAACTGAATTTTCCTCTTGGCTTTGATTGATTCCTTTATTTTTCATGTACAATTAAATTTTTTATCCTTTTGTTATCAAACATTATTATAGGAAGTTAAGTGTTCATCATCTGAATTTTGAATTAAAAAACTCCTTTGTAATATTGAAGTATTTTGAATTCTTGGTGAGTAAGAAGTACATACTCAACTTCATCTTCTCTTACAACTCAGTCTAGTATCTTACCTCATGATAAATTTTATTAAGTCTCTGGGTAGGTTTAAAATCCTAAGAAAGTAGTCTAGGAATAGGGTATGTTTCAAAAGCAGTAATGATATATTAACCACATTGAAACCTTGCTGTTAAAACTCCCTTCAGCCTCAGCAAGGTTTTTTTATGCTAGGATAATAATGAACACCAAGGCATAGGCCACCAGCAAGGAAGCAATTCAGCAACCTTGGTAAACTCTGAAACAGAGTCACTGTCAGCTTGTCTCAGCTACCAGAACTGTTAACAAGAGAGTCTGATTCTGCCATTTGTCTTCAGTTCCCAGGGTGTATTATTCAATTAAAACATTATTTTACCAAAGTCCTTAGCACAGTACCTGGAATATTTATAATAAAGTGATCAATAAGTATTTGCCTTAGAAACTAAATGTGTTAGATAAATTGTACATAAGTGATAAACTGACTTGATGATAGAAAACAATCAAGAATTGAAGGGGTCTTTCATCTCAGTTTAGTTCCCTCTTTCTTTTCCGTGTTATTTAGATCCAAAAGGAGTATCATATATAATACATGGTCTTCATGAAGGAGAGTTATATCCATGAAAAAGACTGTATTTTGTATTTGTTCAAGCTGCTTTTAGCAAAGATTAACAAAGTTTTAAGCTTACATTCCACCAATAGTGAGCGGTGGTCTCATCTCTTAACAGTTATGAATTTGACTTAATTTGAATTTGTCACTGAATATAAAAGAAATATTTGTTTATTTGAGAGAATTTAGAAAATACAGAAAAGGTATAAGGGAGGTAATTACAAATCTTCATAATCCCAGCAACAGAGAAAACAATACCAGTGTTTATTATTTTGGAGTAAACGTTTATTTTAAAAATGAATTTAGTTCACTCTTCACTGTAATAAGAATTATCTTTGAGTATTCAATTTATATTTTATAAGTGTTTTTTTTATTTTTAAAGTTAACTAAACTATTCCTCATTAATCTGTGCTTTTTTGTACTGAACAACTTGATTTGGTTGGTTTGCAAATAAGGTCCATTGTATCTGTCTCATTGTGTCTTTAACAGGTCGAGAAAGCACAAGCGCTGGTATCCAAGGGAAAGCGAGAAAAACTATAAGTGATAGATGGGAAAGTCCACTGTGGAGAGAGAAAAAGTTTGGCTTAATGGATCATCTGCATTACAGCTGCGTTCATCCTGAAAGTATTCCACGGAAATTTATTTTCGAGCAGAGGAAGTTTCTCACTGAGCAGTTTAATTCTCAGCCTGCAAAATACATACCACCAGAGGGAAGGCCCCCAAAACTTGAAGACTTCAAAAGCGCCCGAAGCCTTGGACATTTCGAAGTAACCATCCTAGGTAAGTCAAGTGTTCTTTTATTTGAACACTATTAATTTTATATATTTTCAATATAGATGATACTATTTTGCTTTAAGAAATTATGCTCCCCCCTCCAAAAGAAATAAAGTCCAAGGAGAGCTCCTGCTTGGCTCAAACCAAAGGAATGAAGCACTAACTCTGGAATATATTAAGCTCTGTGGACTTTTAAACATTGGCAAGTCCTAGGAAAGTATTTGGGCAGAGAAGAATGGGAACCAAGGGAACTTTCCTCACCCCTGACAACCTGACTACTTCTAACACTGATTTTGTTCTTCTTTAGCCACCACTTTCTTACTCATGTTCTCTGCCTCTTTCTCAGTGTATCTGAACTGTTGAAGGGTAAAATGTAGGTTAAAGAGAAAAGGTACCAATCGTACTAATTGAGAGAGGCTTCAATGAACAGAGATCTGGTTAGCCCTTGAAGAAAATAAAATTCTCCACTAACTCAGGTTTTAACAGAAAGAAGCTACTTTAATAAAATTCCCTGGGTCTATAAGGGAAAATAAACTGATTTTCTCAGGCTGTTCAAAACTGAGAAGTAGCTATAGAACTTACAGAAATTTAAAAGGCAACACTTTTCTTTTTTTAAGAGAACAAGCTGATGGTTACCACAGAGAAGGTGGGTGAGGGGAATGGATTAAATAGGTGACAGGGATTAAGGAGGGCACTTGTTGTGATGAGCACTGAGTGTTGTACAGAAGTGTTGAATCGCTCTATTACCTGAAACTGATATTACACTTTATGTTCACTAACTTGAATTTAAATAAAAACTTTTTAAAAAGCTAACACATTTTTAAACTTACATTTAATCTTATGTTTGTTTCCAATGACTGAAGAATGTACACACAAAAAATTTCTAAAATAAAAGCCAAATTAAGCTATTCTCACAATCAAGGAAAAATTTTTTTATTTGTTTTGTATCTTTTTTAATTTTTTAATGTTTATTTTTGAGAGAGAGAGAGAGAGAGACAGAATCCGAAGCAGGCTCCAGGCTCTGAGCTGTTAACACAGAGCCCGATGGGGGTTCAAACCCATGAACTGTGAGATCATGACCTGAGCCTAAGTTGGCATCCGACTGAGCCACCCAGGTGCCCCTTAATTGTTTTGTATCTTAAGGGAAGGTTGTGTTACCTTAAAATAAAAGAATTGGGAAAAGTCATTAGTAATTTAATGGCTGAAAGAAAATGTATTTCAAAGATTTTTATATCTACAGCACTGGAATGAATTACCTTGATCTTTATCAAGATTCTTTCTCCTTTTTACTCTTCCACTCCCTCTTCTCTGCCTCCTCACACATAACTATGTATATACATGTGATTGTGCATATGTGAATAATCTAATAAAAGTAATGAATTTCCACTGACTATTAGACATGTCAGACCTAAGTTTTAAATGTTTGTTTTACTAGATTGCATTACTTGGTATCTTTGTCTTACTAAAAAGCAAGAATCAAATGTGAAGAGGGCAAATTTGCCCTGCTTAATCAGCTCTGTAGAATTATGCTGTTTTATATCCTACCTGTTTTCATGCTGTTTTTTTTTTTTTAATTTTTTTTTTAATGTTTTTTATTTATTTCTAGGAGAGAGAGACAGAGACAGCGTGAGCAGGGGAGGGTCAGAGAGAGAGGGAGATACAGACTCTGAAATAGGCTCCAGGCTCTGAGCTGGCAGTCAGCACAGAGCCCAATGCGGGGCTCCAACCCACGAACCGCGAGATCATGACCTAAGTGAACGTCGGACACTTAACCGACTAAGCCACCCAGGCGCCCCTCTAAACCTGTCTTCTATTACCGAGAAAACAAACAGTCATATATAGGAAGGCTTTTTTTTTTCCCTCTATCAAAACTCAAGTCTGAATTTACCATATGAAGTTCTTGTGTAAATAGCACAGAATAACAAATGGGTGGATATTTGCAACTATAGTTTTCCTTTTTAAAAATGTGGAATTGCTCTTCAGATAATTGATTCTTACATCAACCATATAATATATAATCAGTATAATTGTTAAATATTAGTAAGACATTGCTAGGTGTAGCAATGCATTGTAAAGGAGTATATTTTCACCTTAATTATTATATAATCCAAGTACTTAGCTCTCTAATGGTTTAATTTAATACAGAAATGAAATCTAGAGAACTTATATAAATGGTATTGATTCACTGATTCTTATGGAACCTTGGTAGGAGGGGGTAGCTTATCAAAATCATCTGAGGGAGACCTTCCCATACTCCTTAAAATTCTGGCACACTCCAGAGAAGCAGCCTGTTCAGTCTCCATTATCTGCCTAAGGGAGACTTAGAGCTGCACCAGAGCCAATGACAACCATGTGTCCAGCTTGTGAGGTATGCACCAGTGGAATTGAGATTGATAAATACTATTCTCCTACTAGCACTGGGAATATATAGATATTCCCAGGTTTTGGTTAAAATAAGTGGTGAATATCAGATGTGAAGGTAGTGAATTGATTATAACTTTTGTAAAAGTATCAGACTGAAGTTGTATTGTGAGAGCAGACAAATGGTCTCTCCATTTTAAGCATGGCATGAGCAATAGACTCAGAAGAGAGGATTACAGGAGCGCCTGGGTGGCTCAGTCAGTTAAGCGTCCGACTTCGGCCCAGGTCATGATCTCGCAGTTCATGGGTTTGAGCCCCACAATGGGCTCTGTGCTGACAGCTTAGAGCCTGGAGCCTGCTTCGGATTCTGTGTCTCCCTCTCTCTCTGACCCTCCCCTGCTTGCTGTCTCTCTCTGACTCTCAAAAATAAAATAAAAAAACATTAAAAAAATTAAAATTAGAAGAGAGGATTACATTTCTTAATACCGTACTATTTGTTAAAAGGTAAGATCCTAAAACTGAAAGATAATATTAAGTGTGTTCTGTACAAGGGGGTAAATTTGTTCTGTAAAGGGCCAAGTAGTAAATGTTTGAGGCTTTGCAGGTCATACAGCATTTGTCCAAACTACTTAGTTCTGATTTTTTAGTGTGAAAGCAGCCATAGACAATATATAAATGAATGTGCATGCTCTTTGGGGATAAATATTTATAGACACTGAAATTTGAATTGCATATAATTTTCACATATCACAAAATATTCTTTTGATTTTTTTCTTTAGCCATTTAAGGTGTAAAAAAAAAAGAACATTCTGAGCTCATGGGTTGTACGAAGCCTAGTGCAAGCTCAGCTTGGCCCCCAGGTTATAATTTGTTCACCCCTGTTCTAGACCTCTGTTTTTAGATAAAACTAGCTAAACCAATCCAGGCAGGTAAATCTGTATGATATTTAAAATTCTTCCAACATAAAGATTTTCCACCTACACTGGTACTATCTTCCAGTGATTGATTATCCCTCTGCGGTATCTTGCTGATCTCTGGAGGACCCAGTAATTTTGACGTGTCTTATTCTGATAGACAGAAAGGTTATTTACACCACAGCCCTCTTACAGTCATTATCTCTGACTGGTCTAGGGTGAATCATTATTGAGAACATTGAATGGAATGATTAATCTTCCTTCCCACAGTTCTAATGGCTCCCAACAACCAGCTCAGTACTGCTGCAACATCAGAAACCTATTCCAGAAATGCACATTCTTGTATTAAAATCTTTGCTATGCCATCTCACTTGCCTGAAATAAATAGATATCTCTGGTGTTACCTCTAAGCGTTAAAACCTCAGTCCATTGCTTATTATGGAATAACACACATTTCAAAAAGAAGATACTGTAATGAAGTAACAGACTAAAATTTCAGTGCCTTTAAGCCCAGATACAAAATCTATTGGTCATTTTCTCCCGATTTTAAGAACTAGTTTCTTTAAATATAAGAAAACAGTTTTCCAAACCTAGATTGAACTTCCAGGTGGGATTAGTATAACATTGGCTCTACTAGCATTGATTTAGTTACCCATGAAATGCTGTGAGTCAACCAAAGCTTAAGAGTCCTCTCTTCAATTTACATTTGATTTAGGCATTAAGGATTATAATCCAGCCAGCCATTTGTAAGCCTCTGAAGGTCATCCTTTTTGTCTCTTGGAAATCAAGAGAGAGAACCCATGCCCAATTTTTGTATGGTTTGTTCTTTTCCTTTTTTGCAAAATGCATTTAAATCATAATTAACATTTTTAATACCGTTAATTGTAGCATCAAAGCAATTTCAAATGCTGTAGTTATATTGAAGTATTAAGGATTTACTTACCTTGGCTTTTTTCTTCTATTAAAGCAACCAAGCAGACCAACATAACTACCTCCTCCCCTTCCTTGGTACTAGCCTACTGGCTCAGGACCAATTTTTTATACCCATGAGGTATGCCTCCTTCCTTATTAAAGCCTACTTGAACCATTAGCTAAGTAGAACTGGATTTTCTCACTGTTGGTTCCCTCACTGCCTACATATTCAGGATATCCTATCCCACTGAGATGCTTCCCACTCTTCTATCTCAGTGGAGTAGTACACTGGATCATATGGGTTCCAGAGCTAGATTACTATTGTTGCACCTTAATTATGTCCCTTATTTCATTATATAATAAAAGTAATTGTAATTTTTAAAATTTAAATTCAATTTAACATACAGTATAGTCTTGGCTTCAGGAGTAGAACCAGTGATTCATGTCTTACATATGACATCAAGTGCTCATCCCAAAAAGTACCCTCCTTAATGCCCATCACCCATTTAATCCATCCCCTCATCCACCTCCCCTCCAGCAGGTAATTGTAATTTGATCATGAATTCTGAAGTACCTACTATCAGATTTCATCATCATAAGACACTCTTTTTTCCCTATATTTTAACATCTTTGAAAATTGATATGCATCTTGCAATTGAAGTCATGCCTTTTCTTTAGTCGGTAGCATTTTTCTTAGTGACATCTTAGATTGAGTAAAATATGGTATATGCCAAGCATTATGCTAGGTGCTTGAATCACAGATTGCCTCCCATCCAACACACAGTGTCTGTCTGTCTGTCTGTCTCGCTTTCTCTATCTCTTTCACTCACTTTTTTTAGGAAAGAAATTTGGTGAAAACAAAGAATTGAGGAAGAAGATACATAGATTGCAGATGATACACCTTCCAAAGAGCAATATGAGCTTCCTTGCTTGATATTTTCCTGTAATTTTAAACATAGTCTAGATATATTCTCACATTTACGTAGATAGTATGTTGTAAGTTACTTCAGTAATGCATAAGCAGTAAATCTCCATTGAAACACGTATATATGCCCACTGCAGGGAGGATATTTTTGTTCATCTCCTTTGGTAACAGGAATACAGATAAATCCATATTTGAACACTTAATGCACAAATTTCTTAAAGGCTAGTATTTGAAAATTGTAGGTGAAAAGTACACAAATATACATTCATTTGTTCAATTTGCAAATACTTCCTGAGCACCTAATGTGTGCCTAGCACTGTTTTAAGTGCTAAGGTTACATGAGTGAACACAGTAGATACAAGAGCTTGGTGGTAAAAGAGATGGCAGTAAGTGGTGGAAAAAAGGGGTTGGAGAGTACTGTAGTAGGAAAGGATTGCATTTTAAATGGAGTGGTCAGGGGAGGTCTCCCTGAGAAGTTAAAATTTCATCAGAATTCTGATAGATGTGAAGGACAATAACAGTCTGGTTATCTGAGGGAAGAACATCCTAGGCACAAAAACAGCAAGTATGGAGTCCCTGAGGCCTGTTTACTTACACATTTGTACTCTGAACTCTAGGTTTGTTTTTTTTTTAATTTCTTATGTCTTTATTTTCTTTTGAGAGACAGACTGTGAGTGGGGGAGGGGCAGAGAGAGAGAAAGAGGGAGAGACAGAATCCGAAGCAGGCTCCAGGCTCTGAGCTATTAGCACAGAGACCAACACATGGCTTGTACCCACGGACTATGAGATCATGACCTGAGCAAAAGTCAGATGCTCAACTGACTGAGCCACCCAGGTGCCCCCTCTGAATTCTAGTTTTAACCAAAGAACTCACAACAGATTTTATCAGTAATGATGAAGCTAAAATCACAGTATTTTGTAATTTCAAAAATAACTCAAAATAGTATCAATGACACACTGATAATCAAGCTACCTTCCTGAGAATATCAGGATTTGCAATTTCTGATATTTTCTCCATTTTAAGGCACCTTTTCTCTTTTTTTACATTTGCAGGTTGGAATGCATCTTATGGGCAATGGGTACACTTAATGCAGTGTTTCCTTTTTATTAAAACTTTTATTAAAGTATTAAAAAACAGTTTTGGGATCACCTGGGTGCCTCAGTCGGTTCACGGTCTGACTCTGGCTCAAGTGATGATCTCATGGCTCATGAGTTCAAGTCCCATATTGGGCTCTGTGCTGACAGCTCGGAGCCTGGAGCCCACTTCGCATTCTCTGTCTCCCTATCTCTCTGCCACTCCCCTGCTTGTGCTCTGTCTCTGTCTCTTAAATAATTGTTAAAATGTTTTAAAAATTAAATAAAAATAAAGCAGTTTTGTATCAACCGTTAGTTGATAGTATATCTTATAGTTAAATTTGGTCTTAGAATCAAAGAAATAAGATAAAGCATGTGCACATTCACATGAGTTTTGCAACATTGCTAAGAGTTATGGGGTAGTTAATACTTCTTATAATACTGAATTTAAATCTTCAATAAATTCTAGATATCATGACAATCATAGTTCATTAATACCACATTTTGGTAATCCTTAAAACCTTTAAGTAGCCCTTAGTTGTATATTAAATTAAAGGTGTGGAATTTTAGTATCATTTGCATGTAAAAAGCAAGGAATGGACTTACATTTCTGGATCAGTTACAGTTTAACAGGAAGGAGTTTACCTATCAATCATGAACAGTAGTTAAGAATTGCTGTAGCAATGAGTAGGAGAGATATTAAGGTCATAGACTCTAGAACTTGCTAAGTATCAGGGAAGAACAAAAGGAAGAAGTTAAGGATAACTTCCAGGATTCTGTTTCGTGTGACTGGGTGGAATTCATAGTTTTCAAGCTGTGCCCTGTGTGTTTACCCTTCCTCCAATCAAGATAGTCTCCTTACTCTGATCTATAATTTTGGCTACTCTCTGCCCCGCCTAAAATACCTTCTCTCTATTTAAATGCTTTTCATCCTTTAGTACCCAGCTCAAAGCCTTGCCTCTGAAAAGTCCTTTTTATCCACCCTACCTGACATTGACCCATACAAAGAGATGACAGTCACAGGTCAGGATTTACTTTGGTTTTTCCCCCATAGCCACTCTTCTACTGCAATTTCTTATTGCCCTAATAGTGAGTAATTGAAGTTTGTAATGTATAATTGAGGGCACATGGGACCCTGTCACTACTGTCATCCTGGCTTTGCTTGAGTCATACATCCCTAAGTCCAAATGGCAATAAGGGAACCAGTAGTCATCTCTGAATTATTCTATCCTATAATGGCCCCTCACATAATGACCAAGAAAATATTCTACATGTCTTCATTTATGTGACCAGGCCATACTCTGGATATTAAAATTTTAATCTTCGATCAGTAGGTAAAACATTTTGGATTGTTATTTCCAGCAGTGGTGATAGACTGCACTGAAGTGTCTTCTCTTTCAACCAGTAGCATGTATTCATAAAGTTTTGCACAGCAAAGGGTTTAGTTCCTAGCTTTGAAATTATGCTTCTATATGTGTAAAGCTGTTTGGCATGTGTCAGGACCTAACCAGCAAACCAGCAAACCTGGCCTCATTAGCTTCATGTATTAACCCATTTTTGACTAACTATGGTTTTTCTATAACAGGTCTGAACCATGAGATAGCAATTGATGTTGCATTCCTGCCCATGTATTCTCCGGAAGATCTCCGTACATCTCAAATCGACACATTACTAACCTGCATGAATTACAGCTGTGTGTATCCGCAGGAAACACCTGGAAATGACAGACTGCCAAGAGCACTTGCAGGTAAGAGCATCTTGGTATTCCTTTCACCCAGAAGACAAAATTAATATTGTAAACAGTTCTAATCTTAAGATGTTACCATATAAACAGTTACAGCCCCAACATTTAATATAATTTAAAGGGTAATTTGGCACAGGTACCTAAGACTTATAAATGAGAATATATATTTTTAAAAATTTTTTAATGTTTATTCATTTTTGAGATGGAGTCAGAGCACGGGAAGGGGAGGGGCAGAGAGTGGGAGACACAGAATCTGAAGCAGGCTCTAGGCTCTAGGCTCTGTGCTGTCAGCACCGGGCCCAATGCAGGGCTTGAACTCATGGAGCCATGAGATCATGACCTGAGTCGAAGTTGGACGCTTAACCGACTGAGCCACCCAGGTGCCCCAAGAATACACTTTTATTTTTTTTTCTCTTTTTAATGTTTTTTTTTTTTTTTTTACAAATAGTTTATTGTCAAATTAGTTTCCACATAACACTCAGTGCTCATCCCCACAAGTGCCCTCCTCCCCCCCACATCCATCAGTCCTCAGTTTTTGTCAGCATTCAAGAGTCTCTCATGGTTTGCTTCTCTCCCTTTCCCCCACCATTTCCCCCTTCTTCTCCCCCTTGTTCCTCCGTCAAGTTCCTCCTAATCCTCCTATACGTGCACACATATGATATTTGTCCTTCTCTGCCTGACTTATTTCGCTCAGCATAACACCCTCAAGGTCCATCCATGTTGCTACACATGGCCAGATTTCATTGTTTCTCATTGCCATGTAGTATTCCATGGTATAGATAAACCACATCTTCTTGATCCATTCGTCCGTTGATGGACACTTAGGCTCTTTCCATGTTTTAGCTATTGTGGAGAGTGCAGCTATGAACATTGGGGTCCATGTGCTCCTATGCATCAGCATTTCTGTATCCCTTGGGTAAATTCCTAGTAGTGCTATTGCTGGGTCATAGGGGAGTTCTAGTGTTAGTTTCCTGAGGAACCTCCACACTGTTTTCCAGAGGGGCTGTACCAGTTTACATTCCCACCAACAGTGTGGGAGGGTGCCCGTTTCTCCACATCCTCGCCAGCATCTAGAGTTCTCTGATGTGCTCATTTTAGCCCCTCTGACTGGCGTGAGGTGGTATCTCAGTGTGGTTTTGATTTGTCTTTCCCTGATGAGGAGGGATGCTGAGCATCGTTTCATGTGTCTGTTGGCCATCTGGATGTCCTCTTTGGAGAAGTGTCTGTTCATATCTTCTGCCCATTTCTTCACTGGGTTGTTTGTTTTTCGGGTGTGGAGTTTGGTGAGTTCCTTATAGACTATGGATATTAACCCTTTATCTGATATGTCATTTGCAACTATCTTTTCCCGTTCCATTGGTTGCCTGTTAGTTTTGTGGGTTGTTTCCTTGGCTGTGCAGAAGCTTTTAATCTTGATGAGGTCCCAATCGTTTATTTTTGCTCTTGATTCCCTTGCTTTCGGGGATGTGTCAAGTAAGAAGTTGCTGCGGTGGCACTCTCAACAAAAACTGAGGACTGATGGATGTGGGGTGGAGGAGGGCACTTGTGGGGATGAGCATTGAGTGTTATGTGGAAACTAATTTGACAATAAACTATTAGAAAAAAAAATTTAAAAAAATAAATTAAAAAAAAAAAGTTGCTGCGGTGGAGGTCAAGGAGGTTGTTTCCTGCTTTCTCCTCTAGGGTGTTGATAGTTTCCTGTCTCACGATCAGGTCCTTTATCCATTTTGAGTTTATTTTTGTGCATGGTGTGAGAAAATGATCTAGTTTCATTCTTCTGCATGTTGCTGTCCAGTTCTCCCAACACCATCTGTTAAAAAGGCTGTCTTTTTTCCGTTGGATACTCTTTCCTGCTTTGTCAAAGATTAGTTGGCTGTATACTTTTGGGTCCACTTCTGAGTTTTCAATTCTGTTCCATTGGTCTATGTGTCTGTTTTTGTGCCAATACCATACTGTCTTGATGATGACAGCTTTGTAGTAGAGGCTAAAGTCTGGGATGCTGATACCTCCCGTTTTAGTTTTATTTTTCAGTATTACTTTGGCTATTCGGGGTCTTTTGTGGTTCCATACAAATTTTAGGATAGTTTGTTCTAGTATTGAGAAGTATGCTGGTGCAATTTTGATTGGAATTGCATTGAATGTGTAGATTGCTTTGGGTAGTAATGACATCTTAACTATACACAAGAATACATTTTTAAATAAAATTATATAAATTAATGGTTTTTATTCCAGACAGACATTAAGAATTTTCTCTTATAATAGATTTCTAAATGTAAATGTTCAGTAGATTTAAGTGGTATGCACATGGAGCAGTGCAAATTTGGCTCTTCCCTCATTTTAAGTCAGGCGAGATGATTTGTTCTTTCACCTTACAATTGCCTGAAACTTTAATACCTCCATAGCATGGGATAGTATGGTTGCTTTCTCTTATAAATGTTGTTATTCGTGTGCTATGTAATAGATTCCTTGAGGACTGTTGGGAGTTTATGTAATCCCAGTAGGGAAACCTTCAACCAACTAATTGTTTAGGCTGCTACATAATAAACTGAACTTTAAATTATTTCTATATTCCTGTTAAATTATGTGTCCAATTATAATTATCTAATTCCTATTGTCATTTGTACTTCCTAAGCATGTAGTAAAGTTGCTAGCAGTTTTCATTGAGCTTATAGGGATTTTACATTTAAAAGAGCTTTTAAGACAGCCATTATTATCTGGGGATTTTGTGGTGGGTCTTTGTAAGCTGATGAAACTCTTGAGTATATATTGTTTTTAAACAAGTCTTATGAGCTATGTCTTGTGATGAAGTAACTCTTGGCAGTGATGGTTACTGCAAACTGAGCTTGAATATCTGACTTGACAGGAGCCGCCTTTTTCCAGTTCATTTTAGAGACGGTGTATTAGTTGACTTGCAGTATTACTTCCTGCGGTGCAGCTCTTTAGATTTCTAGAAATTCCAGATTTCTTAATTAGTGCTCTAATACATGGTTTAAATATTTATACACTCATTTTCTTACTTCATACAACATCTACTTCCATTACATTTCTTCTGCTAATTGTATGTTATTATTGCTATGAAATCTCAAGGCAAAATTCTCAGCTCCTTACTAGTTGCTAGTGCCAGTTGTTCTCCAGAAGTCACTAACACGGTCAAATGAAAAAACCTGACACCCTTCTGCCAAAGCAGTTAATACTTGAGACATGAATGACAAGAATTACTTGAAAAGTGATGTGATAATCAAAAGCAATCTAACTAAAAAAATGAAAAATAAAAAAAAATGGGGCACCTGGGTCGCTCAGCCTGTTAAGTGTCCAACTCTTGATATCGGCTCGGGTCATGATCTCACAGCTTGTGAGTTTAAGCCCCATGTCAGGCTCTGTGCTGACAGCACTGATCCTGCTTGGAATTCTGTCTCTCCCTCTCTCTCTGCCCCTCCCCTGCTCTCTCTCTCATTCTCTCAAAAAATAAATAAAATTAAAAATTAAAAAATAGAATTTTGATATTTAAAAAAAGCAATCTGATTTGTTTCAAGTAGAATATGTCATGTTTTTCATAACATAGAATTAATAATAATAGTGTCCATTTAGCTCTGTGCCAAGCATTGTGCCTGGGCATTTTACATAAGTTACAGCTAATCCTAATAAGAGCCTTGCAAGGTAAACACTGTTATTCCCTATTTATAGATGGCTAGAATGTAAAACAGATTCACCAGCATGGGTCACAGCTATCATTTAAACTCAGATCTGTCAGATTCAAAACATTTCCTTTCTTTCCATAACTCTAAACTGAAAGATAAAAATAAGTACAGAATAATTAAATGCTAACATAGTGTCATCTTTTAAACATTCCTATAGCCTATTTTCTTTTTTATTACACAAGCTATATATGATCACAGTTCAAAAATTCAAGCAGTACACAGAGTTATAGGGTAAAAGTGAAAGTTCCTCTCCCTGCCTAGGCAGGCCCATCCCCTGCTGCCAACTCACTCTTCTCGCTAGAGATTACCAGTATTCTTTGAATCCTTTAAGAAATTATTTTTGCATATAGTAGTATATATTTCTCCTCCCGCCCCACAATTTTTTTTAAATTCAGTATAGCTAGCAGAGTATTACGTAAGTTTCGGGTATACAATACAGTGATTTAACTATTCCATACATCACCTGGTACTCATCACGACAAGTTCACTTGTTAATCCCCATCACCTATTTCACCCATCCCCCCAACCACTTCTTCTCTGGTAATCATCAGTTCTCTATAGTTAAGAGTCTGTTTCTTGACTTGTTTCTCTCTTTTTTTCCCTTTGGTCCTTTGCTTTGTTTCTTAAATTCCACATATGAATAGAATCATTTGTCTTTTTCTGACTGACTTATTTCACCTAGCATTTTACTCTCTAGCTCCATCCATGTCATTGCACATGGCAAGATTTCATTCTTTTTTATGATTCAGTAATATTCCATTGTACATATATATCACATCTTCTTTATCCATTCATCTATCCTTGGACACTTAGGCTGCTTCCATAATTTGGCTAGTGTAAATAATGCTGCAGTAAACATAGGGGTGCATGATTCCCTTTGAGTTAATGTTTTTGTATTTTTTGTGTAAATACCCAGTAGTGCAATTACTGGATCATAGGGTAGACCTATTTTTAACTTTTTGAGGAACTTCCATACTGTTTTCCAGAGTGGCTGCACCAGTTTGCATTACCATCAACGGTACAAGAGGATTCTTTTTCTCCACATCCTTATCAGCACCTGTTGTTTCTTGTGTTGTTGATTTTAGCCATTCTGACAGGTGTGAGGTGATATTGTACTTCTGATTTTTATTTCCCTGATGATGAGTGATGGTGAGCACCTTTTCATGTATGTGTTGGCCATCTATAGGTATTCTTTGGAGAAATATGTATTCATGTCCTCTGCACATTTTTTTATTAGATTATTTGGGTTTTGGCTGTCAAGTTTTATACATTCTTTATATACTTTGGATACTAACCCTTTATTGG